TGGGCGGTAATCTCACGAATTGTGTGCCCAGACCCCAGCTATCTACCGAACGTCCATTCGTGTAAATCACCCCAATATTGGGGAAGTTATGTATTTTCATGTGAATTGTCGGTTCTGCTGCACGGAGGGATAATCCACTTAACTGTACATTCCAGTGGGAGGATCCCTCTCGTGCAGCAGTGCCTGATGGGAGAAAGGCTCTGTACATTAAGTTTCCCATGTAGTCCACTCCTGTAATACCCCTGTGATGTGACTCAGGAAACCTCTTGCATGAGGAATTGTATAAATTCTGGAGCCTGTGAATAAAGCCTCAGTTGACTCCCAGAAATGTGTTTCGTCCGGTTACTGGGGGATTTGGGATTTTGCCTTACTTTTCAGTGCTGACTGTGGATTACTGAATGTGCCAGCGGAATTCATGTGTTTTAATACTGCCGATCCGCTACAATGTTAATGTATGGTTAATGAGTAATGTATTTTTTATATTTATTGGTATTAATAAAGCTGCGGCCTGTTTGTCACCATCAACGTCTTGTGTCTGTTTATTAAGGTAAGCTTATATGGGTATGTTCATCTACACGGTCCCCACTACCTTCACACAAGGAAATTATAAGTGTCTGTGATCACACTTTCCTAAAAAACAAATCAATAAAATCAGTCTGAATATTGATAATGGCTGGCCAGTTGGTTGATATAATTTTTCTGTTTGTACTACTCCCATGTCCTCTGTATGTCTAACACTTTGAATGTGCGGTATCATGTAACCATTTTCCTGGTGGACAAGGTGTAAATGTGGATTAATGAGTCTCTAATGAACAGATAGTGTTTTTTCTGTGTTCACATAAACATTTCCAAGCAGGCGGCATGTGGCTCTAATTAACTATTGATCTGATTAAAAGACATGTTGCTTTTAATCCATTGGAAAAGTGTCTGGTAATCCCCACCAGACCCCCATAATGAAAACTAGTCTCTTTATAGGGCAGCAATGGGCGCTGAACATTCCTCACTGATCTACAATATCTATAGATCTGACGCGGTCATGACACCATGCAAATTCCTGTTAAAGAACGCTGACATAAAGACACTAGATTTCACTGTAAACACTGCAAACCGTTTCAGATTTTCATCCAGGGATCACTTTGTGTAAATATTGCTGTTAAATCTTTACCCCGGTTGGTGATTTGTTCTAATAAATCAAGTTGTAAAGAACCTACAGAAGTTCAGTTGAGCAGAAACAAACAGACAGACCGACAGACAGATAGACAAACAGAGAGGCAAACATAATAACAGACAGACAGATGGACAGACAGACCATTGGTCCTAATATAAATGGCTGCCGATACCATGTCCAGTCTCCACCATGTTTCACAGATATTGATGTTTTACGGATGTCCATCATCATGTAGTATATAGGGTGTGATATCACTCAATGCATATCACTTTATTCAAGGATCTGGGAGTCTTTGTGCATTGTATATAGAGAGTTCTAAATAGCAGCTGGAACACGAATCTCAGATTTGTGAAGCTCGTGTTGGGTTTCTGTTGGGGTAGAGTCCCAGAGGATTAATTTTTGACGCTGTAATTTGTACAATTCAGTAAATTTTCCATGATGCACTAGGTGAAGGTATTATTGGAAAATAGTAGACTTGTGCATAATAAACAAACTGATTTGCCAGAATCAATTCATCTGAGAGAAAAAAAATTGTTGAGAGTGATTCGGGTTTCATCCATGTGGCATTTCTGTTAACATGATTTTCATCCACACAATTGTTTAGAGAAAAAAACAATTCAGACTAACTGAGAAAATGTGAGTAAAATCACTTACAGCAAATTCAGGAATATAGTGTCAGGAATACACTATATGTTGTGTGTGACAGATCCCTCTGTCTTAGAACTATAGTGCTTTCCCGGTGGATTTGTGTAATTGCCTGTCCGTACTTCCCCGTTCGTTTGTTTGATAATCTACCGAACAAACTGCCAAACGGCCAGCCACCCAGAAGAGGAGTGTGCTGCTGGTTAACCTATTGGCCCCAATTCGAACGTTGTGGTTAACCGCAGACACCTCCTAATTGAAACCATATGCTGGGTGGTCGTCGTTCGTATGCCGACCATGAGGCGGCGGCCATCTTAGATGCCCGAATACACAGCGGTGTTCGTCGACAAACTTATGGAACTCAAACCGGACACTTTTTCTCCCGAACACCGCTGAAAACCGACGACCTTCATTCTTTGTCATCCGGCATACGAACACCGGTCCGTTTGGGACTTTTTATTTGACGAATGGACTTAACACAGATAGCCATCCCATGGAGCCCTTCGTATACCGAAAGAACAGTGTGAAAGACTTTGGCTCCATGGCGATTGAACTGTGTGTATTGGATATGAGCCCCATTTGGTAATAATGTGCACTCAGATCTAGGCTATCTGGGGATACGTTATATGTATGGAATGCATTCGGTAGTTTTGAAGTTATGGAATTTTATGTATTTTTACTGTATTATTTAAAATGGCGTTTTGCCTCTATCCGTGGAGATAATTGGATTTCTTCCCAATTATCTCCAGGATAGAGAGGAGGGGTTGTTTGTACAAAGGGGAGGGTTTATGTCTGAGCCACTGTGATTGGCTAATGTATCCTACTTGTCCCAGTCTTCCATCTGGTCCCGTAGGGGAGTGTCCACCAGGTGGCAGACCTGCATAAATACCGGACAGGTAGCCATCATTAAAGCAGATTCCTGTTTTACCCTCAAGACGGAGCTTGGTCTCGTGTTTGGGGGGATTGCTACTTTGGAGTATTCTTTCGCCTGTTCCAGGAGAGGAGGAGTTCGTATGATTCTCTGTTCGGGAGTTTGGAGCATTTCCTTATATTCCGTTCCGGAGTTTGGCAGCCTACAGCAACGGTGCCTGTGTCTCTAAAGGGGGAAGATCTACTAAATGGCGGTTTCACTCATTTATGCCGGGAGTGTCTTAACATTCTGTTAGGGCTAAAGTAAGGGTTAGGACTAGGGTTAGAGACAATTGTAAAATTGTGGCTTGGGTAAGGGCTTGCGTTTGACTAGAGTTAGGATTAAAGTCAGCGTAATCTAAGGTTCAGGATCAGGGTAAGAGTTATGGTATCTAAAAGTAAGTTATCTAAAAGTAACACTTTTTAAATATATAACCAGTATGACATTCAGCAACAAAGTTTTAAACCTCACCAGGCCATTTTCAAGATGAGGTCCATGCGTGACTGAGGTCCATGCGTGACGCAGTTTTGGACTGGCAATTGGATTAGCAATTTTATCACATGACAGGAGGCTTTATATTTTGCTGCCGAGAGTACCCCATTACACTCGCCTCTACAGAGCTACTGTATCCTTCTCATTACTCCCCTCTGGCAGGGCCGAACGTGGTTTCCGGATCTGTTGGAACAACCTCACGGCCTTCCTCCTCTTTTAGGCATTCCCTTGGTTGTGCATCGTCAATACACTCTTACGGTACGTTAAAGTTACCGGGCCTTTACAGACTTTGCCTTTAGGCCAGCTTCTGGTGGGGTTTTTTTGTGGTTTTTTTTTTATGTTAAACCCCACTATCTGGTCTCTACTACAATTTGATTGATTCATTGGCTATTGTCTATGGCCGGAATCCCTGGTCTGGGGGGACGGTGTTTCAAGCTTTTTTTTAGCGGCGCTTTGTTTGCAGACATTATGCAATGTGCGGATTGGGCACAGGATAATTCTTATAGAAACATAGAAACATAGAATGTGACAAAGGTTTAAAAATAATATCAGGAAGTTTTACTTTATTGAGAGGGTAGTAGATGCATGGAATAGCCTTCCAGCTGAAGTGGTAGAGGTTAACACAGTAAAGGAGTTTAAGCATGTGTGGGATAGGCATAAGGCTATCCTAACTATAAGATAAGGCCAGGGACTAATGAAAGCATTTAGAAAATTGGGCAGACTAGATGGGCCAAATGGTTCTTATCTGCCGTCACATTCTATGTTTCTATGGTTTTACCTACATATTGTTTGCCACATGGACACTGCAGTAAATATGCCACATAGTACGTGTGGACATCAATAGCCTCTTTTACCTGATATCTTTTGCCGGATACTGTACTGAAAAAATCCCTTTTGGTTCCTGATGTAAACGACCTCTAAAACCTGTTTGTTGTTCTCTCATTTTGTCCTTCTGAGTTGGTTTTATACTATAACTAGGGGCCAAAGAGTTTTTCAGATTACATTTTTCCTGAAAATTATTGGGGGACGATCAGGGAGAAATGTAATACTGACCATCATAAAATAAAAAAAGTGTTATTAAAACTGCTTTCATGTCTCAAAGAATTTCTGTATGATATTAATCTATCTTGGAAAGTGCCTTAGACAAATCCCAAAATGGATTTTATTCCATCTAGACACAATATTAAAAACTGTATATGCTATATTACTATTATTTTTACAAGAAGATTAGGGTTGTTTTTTTCCATAGGGGGACAAATGTCCAAGAACACTATCCTATTGTATTTGTAATTTATATTTAAAAATAGTGTTCATTGCTTGTTCACTAGAGTTCACATTTGTTTTCCTTTGAGCGATGAGCCTGTCAGACTTCCGATACACGGATCCAATAAGGGGAAGAGTAAATGGGAGTACACCCCATACATCGAGGGTGGAACGCATACTAATGGTTAAGTGGAACGCAGACGTCACTAAGAGGCGCCATTGAATACCGGCGCGCTGGAAGTGACGTCAGAAGATTCAAGGGGAACAGAAAAGACCGGGAAAAAGAAAAACAACGATAAAATTAGATAATTAACAGGGACTTGGGGGGAGGGTTGTATACTGCTTTTTTAATTGGATAACTTGTGTGATTTGTTACCTTGTTCATTCATTTATTTGTACATTTGTATTTTTATGGCTGCTTTTGATTTATTTTTGTTGCTGCTTGGAAGGTCCCCGAGGAAGTCCCTTGGGACAAAACATGCAGGACCACACTGAGCAACTATTATTTATATTGTTTATACTATTGTGTTTTTACACATTGATTTTAACAATAAAAACAACAGTTACTTCATCTCTTCAACTTGACTCCGGCTCTTCACATTTACAGTGCTGCTGAAAATAAAGGAGACGATTTGGACTAGCCCCCTATTTACATCGGTGGTGGCACCCTAAGATGATATACCATACTTCATCCTGTGAGTGCAACTTTATTTAGCAATTTATTTTGTGCTGCACAGTGTTACACTATCGTTGTTTTTTCTGTTTCCTGTTTGTAGATCCACAGCTGTATTCTCCATTGTGTGAGTTGTTTCCAAGACCCAAGCCTTCTGCATACAGGGAGAAAGGCAACCAGGAGTAGGTCACTGGAAGCAAGGCCTCCAGGAGCAGGACACAGGGAACAATGCCTCCAGGAGATGGACAAGGGAGTATGTCCTAGAGGATCAGGATCTGGAACACATCTAATGAACTAGCAACAAAAAATGGAAAGTCT